TTAGAGCTAATTGTTATATAGAATGCTTGTTTCTTGCCAGACATCATTTAACAACTTTACAGCATAACACCCGAGAGAAAGAGTGCTTTCCTAGGAGGTGGAGGAGTTGGTACTCATGACCTCAAATGCCACCCTTGACCTCCCTTGCCCAGGGCTATGGTACAATAGGTCCACATTTCTATCTGAAGGGCTGTTTTCCATCAGAAAGTCATCTGGATGCTTTGGGCTTGACAGGGCCATGGTAAAAATACCTCTACATGATTTAAGCTGTGCATTTTCGCTCTGAAGCTATTTGTTGGGTGACAATTACACACCAGGCACTATGCTAAGTTCACTGGACATAGATGTAAGCAGAACAGAGACTCTGCCCCAGGAGCTAAATACATGGACAGAGAACCATGAAGGGAATGTGCCAGGACATGAAATGGAGCGTCATGGGGAGACCTGGAGACAGTGGGCCGGGAGAGGCAGTTAGAAAAAAAAAAAAATTCATGTAAACTGAAAGAAGAATACTATTTTAAACACCTTTTAAAATCACCCATTACTAATGATATACATGCTCCTATTTGGTGCTGCACAACCTCTCAAGTTTGGTAAGTGGGCACCACTTTCGTTTCCTGTTCCACAGATTTCTTTATGCTTTTTATCACACTAACCACTGAAAATATGACTTAGCATAGATATACCATGATCCAGGATCTAATGTTGAAATGGGACAGCCCTGCATGGGTGCAGTGTTCGACAAATGTTGAGTATCCCAATCCCTTAAGGAACTTCAGCTATCTCTCAGCAATTCTGGGAATTTACAGGATACCCTGGGGGTGATGTTGTATGTAGTTTGGGAACCACAGAATTAGGCATATTCCTTTTCCACTAAATCCTTTCTTGAAGCCATACTTGATTACATGGTAACATTTTGGGCTAGGATATCAGAAAGTTAAGTGACCACATTTTTGGAAAATTGTGTCCTGTTTGCCCATAAGTCAATGAAGATGGTCTCGGAGTACTGACCCAGCCTGCCTAACTCAGACAGAGGAGAGGAGGAAAAGCACAAGAAACATACAGATCTTCAGTAGTAGCACAAAAGCAGGTGCTGTTGAACAAAGAAGAAATGAGTATGTGGTTTGCAATAGTGATTTGGGAGACCTCGATGAAGAAATAGAATGCTGAGATTCTGAAGGCTGGTTATTGCCAGCATCTGCAATTCACCTGGTTAAATCTTGAGGTGTTGCACTGGGAAATTCTATAGAACATCTTTAAACTGCCAGAAGGCGTTTAAAGAAAGGAAGAGCTGAAATGTAGAGAAGGAATTCAATCCAGAGCAACCAGCACATTCCTTTGATTATGCTCTTGTTTCCTTAGCTGGATGCCATTCTTGGTGAGTAAGAGAAAGTGTGAAGATTAGTGAGCATACCTGTCTTTGATATACCCCAGAACCTCCATGCAATGTAAATACTGTGTTGTCTTGAAGAATAAAGTGGTTGACCAGTTTAAACTTTCTCTTTCTATATGATATCATATATGCAAATTTTCCAAATTGGTTGAGACACTGATGAATTCAGTTCCTATAGCAACTGGGAGATATCATCATCCTCACATCATCCAAGAGATGGGTTGACCCAGGAAGTCAGCTGGGGAACCCACAATATCACACAGAGGTATGACGTGTCCTCACTAATCAACACTTTAGGCATGAAAATACACACTCCAAAGAGGAAGAGATATTAGGTTAGCTTAGATTATCTCCTGGATAACCAGAGTGAGATACTTCCTTGGGAAAATCCTAGCCTTGGAAATTTTGCACTTGTTGTCATCATGATGCCAGCGTGCATTGTTAACTTAGCCCTTGAACTACCACAGGTTCTTGTCCCACGAAGCCATAAAAAGGAATTCATAGACATTTTAGATAAGTAAGCAGAGAGAAACAAACTTTGTTTAAGAAAGTAAAGAAAAGTTTATTTAAAGGAAGAAAGTAAGGACTCCCAGGTACGCTATACTTGGGAGGGCCAAGGAAGCCCTTGTGGGCCCGTGTCTAGGGGTATTTAAACCTTTTTTTTCCCCTCTATTCTAAAATCTCATTATCCTATTTTATGACTGGCTCTTCCTCCTAATGGCTATACTCCTCCAGGCAGATGTGCTATTTTCCCATATCTCATCTTAAAGTTTCTCTTTTACCTCTCCTGTCTAAGAGCTCCTAAAATTTACTGTCCCAATTTGTCTCAGATTTTAGTCTTAAAATTTACTGCCCTCATTAGCCCTCCTGAATTCTCTGCCCTTATCTCAGAGGCTTCCCTTCATTCTCTTGAAGTCCGTGCCTGCACTGTTCCTGAGGCTGCCTACTTAACTGAACTTGCCCTGGGACATTTCAGTCAGGCTGAAAGGTCCAAGTTCTCTTCACATCTGAGTTCGCTCCTGGATCTAGTAGTTTGCAGTTGTGGTTGCAAAGGATAATTAATGCAGAAAAAGTCTGGCTTTATTGGAGGCTGGGCATGGGGATGTTAAAAAGCAGTAGGTCTTTTGAATTAATGTTTTTGTGTCATTTGGGTAGATACTTAGGAGTGGAATTGCCGGATAATTTGGAAGCCCCATTTTTAGTAGTTTGAGGAAACTCTACACAGCTTTCCAGCAATCAAAAATGATAAACTCATGCCATTCACAGCAACATGGATGGAGCTGGAAGGGATTATGCTCAGTGAAATAAGCCAGAAAGAAAAAGAAAAATATAGGATGGTTTCACTGATAGGAGGAATGTAGAGGAGCCAAATAAGGGATCAGGGGAAAAAATAACTGTAATAAAGTAAAAATCAACATCAACAGATAACCAGAGACGTTCTGCAGGGGATGAGGGGGAAGAAGGATCAGGATAGGGGCGGGAAGATCACAAGGGACTATGGACTATGGTGATGGTGCACAGGTGAATTGGTGGTGGGAATTTCACGGGAAATCATACATTCTACAAAAATGAAGGATGATGTAATATATATATATATATATATATATGCATACACACACATATACATATAAAAGCAGTAGGTCTTTTTAAACTTGAAGGCCTGAATCAGAGCCATCTTTCATCACTACATGTTGCTTTTAGTAAACCCCTGCTACCTTTGCAGTAGAACACAGGGCATAGTTAACATTACAATCTCCAAGAGCCCTGGTGCTTCATTGTCTACTCTACCATTTATTGGGAAGGAAACGTGATCTTTCTGGGCTATAATTTCTTAATGTGCAAATGGGGATGATTTTTCTAGGACCTGCCATAATAGGGCTATTTGAAAGGGTTGATAATAGGGCTGCTATAGGGGCTCATGATTTATGAATAGGTTCTGGCTTTTAACATACCTAGTGCCAATTTTTTAAAAATTACTCTTTTGAGACCATACACATAGATTTTATGATTTTTTTGAGCTGATACTATTTTTATTTTCTTTTCTAGTCTCTCAGTCTGTTTTTTTTTTAAGATTTATTTATTTATTTGTTTATTTATTTATACAGAACTGGGGTATAGGCCCCAGAGGGGGGTGTGGGTAGTGGGGGGTAAGAGGATTCACCAGAGCCAGAATGGGGAGCAGAACAGGCAGATTGACTGAAATACACTGCTGAGGGGAACAGCAGGCGAGACAGGAGAGGTCTGCTGTGCCATGTGGGTAGCTCCCTGGCTGGGGATGGAAATCAGGCCACAGTAGTGATAGTATAGAGACTTAACCTCTAGGCCACCAGGGAGGCCTTGAGTTCCAGGGCAAGTTTGGTTAAGTAGGCAGCCTCAGGGACAGTGCAGGCAGGGACTTCAAGAGAGCTAAGGGAGGCCTCTGAGATAAGGGTAGAGAAATTCAGGAGGGCTAATGAGGGCAGTAAATTTTAAGGCTAAAATCTGAGACAAATTGGGACAGTAAATTTTAGGAGACCTTGGACAGGGGAGGTAAAAAGAGAAACTCTAAGATAAGACCTGGGAAAATGGGCACATCTGCCTGGAGGAGTATAACTACTAGGAGGAAGAGCCAATCACAAAATAGGATGATGAGATTTTAGAATAGAGAAAAAAAAGGTTAAATACCTCTAGACATGGGCCCACAAGGGTTTCCTTGCCCCTCCCAAATACAGCGTACCTGGGGCTCCTTACTTTCTTCCATTAAATAAACTTTACCTTCTTAAACAAAATTTGTTTCTCTCTGCTTACTTATCTAAAATGTCTGTGAATTCCTTTTTACTGCTTTGTGGGACAAGAACCTGTGGTGGTTCAAGGGCTAAATTAACAGCACACACTGGAGTCAGCCTCAGTATTTAGAACAATATTGGGCACACAAATTAGTGCTGCTGATGAATAAATTATAAAAATAATGCCCAGCAGACACTTTTAAAGGCTGGCAACTCCTGGAAACACCTAGTGGTAAAACCAACTCATGGAGATGGTCCTCAATTACAGTTTCAGATGCTCAGACCTCCTTTTCTTCTGCAGCCACTCAAATTATTGTCTTCAAACTAAATTCAGAACCTCTCATTGTTTTAGTGGAAATTTTGGAGCTAAAGGCCTCCCTGGTGGTGCAGGAGTTAAAGACATTGCTAACAAGCTATTGCCAGCCACTGCATCAGGTGTTGGATTCCTGGCCAGGGAGGTGACCCACATGGCGCAACAGACTTCTCCTGCCTCGCTGCTCCTCCCTCAGCCATGTATTTCAGTAGATAGATGTGCCTGTCCAGTTCCCCACTTTCTCTGGTGAATCCTCTCATCCCCCCACACCTGTGGCTTACACCCCAGTTCTTGCATGCATAAATAAATAAATCTTTGAAAAAAAAAACTTTTTGGAGCTAAGTCTTAAGATAAATAAGTATCCCTTATATACTTGGAGGGGTGACAAACTCTGGGGCATTATGCCCACCTCACTTTTACTTAAACTAGTGCCTGGTTTTGTTAACCAAAAGAAATTTCAAGAGGATTTCCACATTTACGACAAAAGCTGGAAAGCAAAGAGCATGCGCAGTGCAGGTTTTACCGCAGTTGTAGAAGCAGCCGCTGGAGAGACGAGAAGGGCCCTACTACACTCCTTCCTGAGGACTCCTTTCCACAGGTGTGTTATCACAGCTTTCCTGCTTTTACTCTGTGGGAGTAATTTTAAGTTATATGTGTGTAGTGGCAGGATGGGCACAGTGCAAGTTATCTATGATCCCAGCAGACCTGGTAAAAGGAGGAGTCCTGGAGCCCTCAGTGGCTTTCTCAGGCTTTTATTGAGCTTTGCATGTAGTGTGGCAAACAGGTACATGGCAGGCAGGTGCTGGGGCCAGGGGCCAGGAGGCCAGGAGGCCTCCAAGCCCCTGGCAAGTCTTCGCTCTGGGCTTCTCAGGCCTTCTTTCTCTTGTTCCCTCTCCTGTCTCTCTCCTTCTTCTCTGGGTGACTATCTCTCTATACCCCTCTCATGGCCCACAGAAGTAAATAAGCTAGTTTGCAACAATGTAACAACTGCAGGTACCCCCCCCCCACACACATCAGGCAGGGCAATCCTAATGGTGGGAGGGCTGAAAAGCCTGAAAACCATTTACCAAACCATTTACCCTACAATGTGTTATTTGGCATAGCTTGGTGGGTTATTTTTTTGCCTCTAGGAAGAAACAAATAGAAATGAACAGTAATTGCTTTGCCTCTAATGGCTTTGGATAGTTTTCATAGGAATGCTCTACTTGCAGATCGCAGGGGAAACCTGTATTATTAACTTTATTACCATCCATATTCACTGGAGGAATCACGTTAGGCTTCATGGAGGAGGTGACATTTGCAGTCTGCCTTGAAGATAGGCCTGGGACAGGAGGAGATGGGGCAGAAGATTTTAGACCATGGGCACCACAGGAGCTGTGCAGCTTTGGGATGGAGAATAACCTGGAGGCTGCATCTTAGGCTCTATAGGAAATAAGAGAGAAGGGTTTTGCAGAGGAGCCTTGCTGTTGGTGGTAGACAGCGAGTCAGCATCGGTGCTTTTAAATTTAAAAGGGAGATGGTGAGAGTTTTGCTGAATTCTGTTGTGAGCCAGACAGCCTGCTACTGAGAATGTGCCCTCCTTCAGGAGCTCTTTAAAATTGAGTCTATGGGGCTCTCTGGTGGCACAGGCGGTTGAGCGCAGTGCTGTGAAGGTGTCTGCAGCCTCTGCAGCGCAGGTTCGATTCTGGCCGGGCTGGCGAGAATCCCACATGGAGAGCAGACCTCTCCTGTTTCGGCTGCTGCTCCCTTCAGCAGTGTATTTCTTCAGTCTGCCTGTTCTGTTCCCCTCTCTGTCTCTGGTGAATCCTCTCACCCTCCAGCGCATCTGGCCTGTATCCCGGTCCTTGTATAAAAATAAATAAATCTTTAAAAAAAAAAAAAGTAAAATTGAGTCTACACAAACAGATACCAATTCTGAGGTGAGGTCCCCCAAGACAGAGGAGAAAACAAACTCTTGGCGATCTGGAGTTTCCACTCAAAAGTCCAGCTTTCAATTCTAGACTTATCCCTCAGTGTGGACAGGCTATCTTGGGGTTCTTGTATGCTCAGAGATGAGGGAAGAAAAGGGAAACCAAATAGCAGAAGCCGCTCTGCAAGTCCTGTGGCTCTCGGCACTGTCTGTCATGGTTCTCCCTTCCGGGATGATACTTCCTTTTTAGAATCCCAAAGGGCACAGCTGACTTACACCATCTCCAGGCCATTTCTTCCTGGGTGAAAATAGGGGCTTCTCGAGAGGAAATGAAAGATCAAGGTGTGGTTTTGCCTATTATGACTTTCTATTGTGAACCCCTGGAAATACTCATTTTGAAATAAAAAAAAATAAGTGGCTCTGAAAGTGTGATGTCAGAGTGGACGTTTGGAGCCCCTGGAGGAGAACACACAGAGGCAAACAGGGGTTCTCCAGAGGTGCCTCGGAGGGCTCTTTGTCTGGAAAATTGGCCACTGAGAGGAAACAGCACTAAAACAGAAACCAGAGCAGTGGGGATCTGCTGGGTCAGTGCTTTCCAAAGGACTTTGCCATGTCAGGTGATTCAGAATACAGAGGAACAACTCCTTCTACAGTTATCACAGATAAGACCTTTCCTCAGTTTCAAAGTTATTTTTCCATTCTTCTGATGTCATTCTGGAGAAAGGCTCATTTTGGGTTTGGTGTGTCTGACATCATGGCCTGCTGAGAGCAGGCTCTGGAGCAGAGGCCTTACCTGTGTATCGTGTCCATTTTAATGGATCTTACCTGTGGTTGCCTGGGGAAGGCTTTAAAATATTTCTGATGCCTGGTATCCCCCTCCATGAGGAATTCTGACTTAGTAGGTCTGGGGTGTAGTCTGGGCATTGGGGCTTTTAAAAACTCTTAAGGCAGCAGTTTATAATTATAATTATATTTCATATAATTTATATTTATATGAATTATGTAAATTATATTTTATATGATTTATATAGCAATTTTAATGATAAAATAAATAATAGTTATATATTTTCATGATCACCAATTATATTAAATAAGTAATTCTATTTTTTTTTTTAAGATTTATTTATTTTATTTATACAAGCACTGGGTTCAGTCAGAAGCGCAAGAGGGTGAGAGAATTCACCAGAGCCAGAGCAGGGAGCACAACAGGGAGAAGGACCGAGGTACACAGCTGAGGGGAGCAACGGGAGGCAGGAGGGGTCTGAGCGCCATGTGGGACCCTCACCCGGTGGCGGGGGATCAAACCGGTGCTGCAGAGGCTGCAGGCAGCTTTGCAACCCAGAGCTCAACCGCTGTGCCACCGGAGAAGCCCAGTAATTCTATTTTTTATTGTTTATTTTATATAATTTACTCATGGTGAATGAAACAGCGTTTCTTTTTCTTTTTTTTTATTTTAAAGATTTATTTTTATTTATTTATGCATACAAGAACTGGGGTTTTGGCCAGAGGTGTGGGAGGTGAGAAGATTCATCAGAGACAGAGTGGGGAGCAGAACAGGTGGACTGACTGAAGTACACTGCTGAGGGGAGCAGCAGTCGAGACAGGAGAGGTCTGCTGTGCCATCTGGTTCAGCTCCCTGGCTGGGCATGAACTCAAGCCATAGTGGTGACAGTACTGGAACTTAACCTCTAGGCTACCATGGAGGCCCAAGCTTTTCTATTTATGTTCATGAAATCAAATTTCCTTATAATATCAATTGATTTGAGTAAAATTAATAAATAAGTAAATTTCAAGTTTTTGTTAGAGGTTTTTAATATAATTTCTGTACTCAATAAAACCGAAGGGCTTTCCAGGTAATAAGTAAGGATTAACACTAATAAGAGTAAACATTCATTGCTCACTTATTTGAAACTATTACTGCCTTTTATCCTTTCCACAGCCCTGTGAGGTCAGTACTGTTGTAACTGTCTAATAACAAATGGGGAAGTTGAGGCTTAGAAATCTTGTCTTTTGTGTCAGCTTTCTAGTGAGCAATCTGTTAGAAATATAATGTATACCACCTCTGTCATCTTGAAATTTCAAGTAGTCATATTAAAAAAAAGTGAAAAGAAACTGGTGAAATTAATTTTAGTAATGTATTTTGTAAGCCCCAAACATTATCACCTTAAAATGTAATCAATGTAAAATTTATGAGATACCTTATATTCCTTTTTTTTTTTTTTGTACTAAGTTCTTGAAATCTGATTTTCTTTAAAAAAAAAATAAATGGGCCTCCCCGGTGGCGCAGCGGTTGAGCGCTAGGTTGCGAAGCTGCCCGCAGCCTCTGCAGCGCCAGTTCGATCCCCGGCTGCTCCCCGGCCACCGGAGGAGGGTCCCACATGGCGCGCAGACCTCTCCTGCTGCCCGCTGCTCCCCTCAGCAGTGTACTTCGGTCCTTCTGCCTGCTCTGCTCCCCGCTCTGGCTCTGGTGAATTCTCTCACCCTCCCACACTTCTGACTGTACCCAGTGCTTGTATAAATAAATAAATAAATCTTTAAAAATAAATAAATAAATAAATAAATAAATAAATAAATAAATAGATAGCTAGCTTTTGGGCCTCCCTGTTAATGCAGGGGTTAAAGTCTCAGAGTTATCAAGCTATCACCAGCCACTGCAACTTGAGTTCTATCCCCAGCCATGGAGATAACCCACATGGCACAGCAGACCTCTCCTGTCTCACCTCTTGTTCCCTCAGCAGTGTATTTCAGTAGATCTGCCTGTTCTGCTCCCCATTCTGTCTCTGGTATATCCTCTCACATCCCACACCTCTGGCCTATACCCCAGTTCTTGTATGCATAAATAAATAAAAATAAGTCTTAAAAAATATACTTAACCTTAAAAAAAATACCTGTATTGAGAATGTAAATCACCTATCGTCCACCCACCTCATTTATTCAAAAAAAATTTTTTTTAAAGATTTATTTATTTATGCATACAAGAACTGGGGTACAGGCCAGAGGCATGGGGGAGGGGTGAGAGGATCCACCAGAGACAGAGGGTGGAGCAGAACAGGAAGACTGACTGAAATACACTGCTGAGGGGGAGCAGTGGGTGAGACAGGAGAGGTCTGCTGTGCCATGTGGGTTACCTCCCTGGCTGGCCAGGGATTGAACTCGTGCTGCAGAGGCTGAGGATTGCTTCATAGTGCTGTGCTTAACCCCTTGTGCCACCAGGGAGGCCCTACCCACCTCATTAAAGAGTAAAATTCAGTGGTTTTAGTATGTTCACATGAACTTGCCTGCAATCATCTCCACAATCAATTTTAGAGCCCTTTCACCATCCTGAAATGAAATCCTATGGCTTTTATGGCTTTTAAACTATCACTCACTTACTGCCCCAGCTACCCTCCCCACCCAGAGCAGTCTCTTTTCAACTTCCTGTTTCTGTAGATTTCCCTTTTTCTGGACAGTTAATATAAATGGATTTTTCCCTGTGTGGTCTTTTGTGATTGACTTCTCTTACCATTTTTTCAAAGTTCATCCTGGATGTGGCATATATCGGTACTCATCCCTTCTACTGGCCAATAAAATTCTATTATATAGATATACAACATTTTCTTCATCTATTTGTCTAGGATGGATGTTTGGGTGCATCTTTTGGCTAACCTGAATAATCCTGCTGTGACAATGGTGTACTGGTTTTCTGTGTG